GTGGCCGCTGCTTACAATACAATATCTGCTATCCCAGCCGATCGAAGTCACAATGTCAGAATACAGTTCCTGTCTTTACATGGCCATCGTGTTTCAACAGTGGCTTGTTCTTGGCCTACTACTAGACCGGCAATTGCCAAGGGAGATGGTTGCCCGCTTCTTTCTGGTTGACACGTCTCTGCTTGCGCCTCGTGCGATCCAAGTCCTTCTTGAATCACAAGCAATGACATGCATGGACGATGGATTCTTCTCTGAGGTTGTGCAGCGGACTTTCAATCATGCATGCCTTGCTCAAGACAAGGAGATAGCAATCCTTCTGTGCTCCAAATCTCGCTGCAAACTACGCATCGCGGATGTTTTGCTACCTCTGCAACAAGCAATTGATGCCTCCGACCTCGACTATATTGCTGCTTTGCTTGGTGCAACATCCTGTTCCAAGGTTGACCTTGAAGTACTTTGGAAACACGTCAGTGATCAATATCACAACAATGATTTTCTCACGCTTGTGGAGATATTGCTTCAAGCCGGTGCAGACGGTGTTTCAGTCGGCGCTACATTGATAGATGCCATCGAAACAGACAACGAGCCTCTCATCACGCTCATCCTGGGTCGATGGCAAAGTCCACGGTCCCTGCAGTATCGCGAAGAGTTTGACTATAAAGGACGCCGGCCAATTTCCAAAACATCAGGCCCAGGGCCCGATGCAGACTATTTTTCGGCGCTCGCTCGCGCTCTCTCAGTTGCTGTTCGTCGAGACCGAGCAACTATTTGTCGGCGCCTTTGCACGGCCGAGGCTCCACTTGTATGTCAAGGACAATCACTCATTGAGCTTGCAGTGGTCCTGGGAAGTCACAGTGCTCTCGTGGAGATGATTCAATACTCAAAAACACGTCCTGCAATGAGTCAGGCGGTCAACTTCGCTTTACTTCAAGCTGTGGTACACAATCGCCTAACCTGGGTGCAAGGTCTTATACACCTCGGCGGTTCAATCGAAGCATACGACTTTGAGCCCTTGAAAATTGCGGCGGGATTTGACCATCCTGATATGTTTGCAGCACTCCTTCCCTACGCCCAATCCCCCCAGGGGCTTAACGCAGCATGCCAATACCTTCAAGAGCGTCTTACTGCGTACGAGGTCGATCTGGACAACATTTGCACGATGTTTGAGCAGCTCCGCAAAGCAGGCTTCCAGGTAGAAGAGAGGTATAACGAAGCTCTCTTTGCACTGTCAAGTCTGCGGTCTGCCAGCTCGGATCACGTTGGAATTCTGATCGATTGCGGAGCGTCTATCGACTACAAAAGTGGTGATTGCATGATACAACTCTGGAGACAAGGCAATGTGCAACTCTTCCCCGACCTCCTTCGCCATTGCAGTCGGCAGTCAGTCAGAACAAGACTGTTGAGTGAGGCATGTGGCGACTATTTACAACAAGAAAAGGATCGTATCAGTCTTCGGGCCGCCGATATGCAGCTCGTCCTGAGTGCTCTCCTTGAGACAGACATACCTCAGGATGTGCGTAATATGGTGCTGGATGCAATTGCTAGGGCTTGCCATCATAAGCCTGAGTCTGCCTCGATCATCCAACTGCTACTGGAGAAAGGGGCTCGTTTCATCGATGGGGCTGGAGTGTCCCTCTATCAAGTTTGTCGCCTCGAGGATCCCAACATCACCTCCCTAGTTATCAACAGCCGGCCTCATGTGCGAACTCGCTTGCTAGCTCTCCATCGCCTGTTCCGCAACCAGGGTACAGGATATTCGAATGCCGCAGTGAGAGAAGCTGCGCAAGAGCCCAATCCATCAGACCAGGCATCCTTATACAACATCAATTTCCCCGCATCGGCAGCTGAGAATCTCGACCTTGAGGCCTCAGACGTCGTTGCCTTGATTGAGGCAATGCTAAATCCGAAAGTTCCGTCTACAGGGACCAGTTTGATGTTTACGTTCTTCTTCATGCTAGGAGGTCTCCGTGTGTTCTCGTTGCAACGTTGTTCCGACGACGATCGCCATGATGTGGAGCAAATGTTTGCTGCTGCCATAATGAACTCTCAAGCTAAAGAATTAGACGATCGAATTGAGTTCTTGCTCAGGGTCTTACAGATTGACGCACCAGATTCTGTGAGCTTGACCGCAGACGATATTGGCTTTGCTTTGGGGGTTGCTTCGCTGAACAGGCTACTTTTATTGTCGCTCCAGCACAAGAAGTTTTGTTTGGTGACTACACTCCTGGACGCCGGTGCCGACCCAAACACAAGAGATTACGACAGACGATCCGCATTGTACCTAGCCACACTGGGGAAATCTCTCGATACAATGGAGTCTTTGATCGGGCACGGCGCGGAACAAGACGACGGAAGTCTGCACATCGCGACTTGCTGGCAACATCACGAAGCCATGCAGCTGCTTCTCGAGGCAGGGCACGAACCAGGCTATTGTTCTGAGCTTTTCTTTGGCGCTACTCCGCTCGAAGCTTTCTTACGGTTTAACCACTCCGGGGCAGCACCTGATCATTTCGAGATGACACTCGCGGTGCTGTTGTGCGACGCCAATGTACCAGCAGATTTCTGGAGCAGTGAACCCAACCTTTTGTCTCTGGCTCTATTGGGTTCATCGCCGTATCAATTGTTCAACGCGCTGCTGTGTTATCTGCCTCCAGAAGTGGTTGAATTGCCTCTCATTCGTCGAGACCGGTTTATGTTCTCGGTCCTCAGCCTTGTCGAAAGAGGAGAGGATATTGAGTTGTCTGACATTGAACGAGTGGAACTGTCGACTCGTCTAGAAGCATTAAAATTCACGCGGACCTTTTACGCTGAGGAGGGAGATCAACCAGAAGACGCTGCCAATGTGCCAGAACACCTCGAGGCCCCCGAAGTGAGGGCACGCCGTCGTGCTTGGAGAGAAAAGGACTGTGCTGTTTGCGCCGAGAAGCCTCCCGATCGAAACGCAATTCATGCAGCGCTGGCCCCATCTTGTGAAGACAACCACGGGTGGGAGGACGACATCATCTGTACCGACTGTCTGAGAGGACATCTCGAATCACAGATGTTCCCGCAGGGAGATGACAGATTCCCCTCCGCCAAAGTAAAATGCTGGGCTCCCAATTGCCTAGAAATCCTCGGCCATGCAGTGGTCCAGGCCCTCGGTGATGCAAAACGATTCGCCATCTACGATGCAGCCCTTGCTCAGATGTTCTTTAACGATAATATGGCCAAATGCGCCAAGGCTGGCTGTACAGGGGCGACATGGCTCGGGGAGGAAGACAAGAACACGACCATTTCCCGTGCGAAGTATGTGGTGAATATACCTGCATACAGTGTAATCAGTTGTACGACATGCATAGGGACGAGCCTTGTCCCCAGGGCGAAGAGGCCAAAGGTATTGAAAGACGAAGGGAAGAGGAGGCGGCCACGGCAGCCCTCTTGGCCAAAGGGAAAAAGTGCCCACAATGCCAACTGCCGTTTGAGAGGATTGAAGGTTGTGATCATATTGTATGTGGCAAGGATGCGCACTCGAGTGCGAGAGGTCGTAAGTCTTCCCCCTGACCCCCCCTTTTTTCCCCCTTTCTCCTCAGCTTAGAGGCTTCTGCTAACTCTGGCTTCCATGTTCCTAGGTGGCTGTGGATTCGAATTCTGCTATATCTGTGGCGCAGACTATAGTGCCATTCGCAGGCAAGGGAATACGGCGCATGCGAGGAGTTGTAATCACTATGCATGATGGAATGGTGAAAGAAGAAGAGACGTCATCTTTCCGTTTAGAGAAGTGTAGAGTTCAAGTCCACCATACCATACATAATTACGATGGATCATGCCATAATACACGAGACCACTTTGAGACCACTTTGAGACCTGCGGTTCGTATTCCATACTATTCATATAGAATTTTGCCCAGACTCCTCAATGCCTGTCGAGGTTGCCTCTGACTTGCATGACATAGCTCTAGAACCAACGTCCAGTCTCAGCTTCTGCCAATTGTCGCCATTGAGAGCCCGCCTTCTACATGGACAATACGCAGAATGACGAGCAACCCTCCAATCCCTCACTCATCTCACAAAGCAGCCCTCTTCCCTCGCGAGATCTGCCCTCCACAGCCCAAGAGGTGGTTCTGCCACGCGTGGGACGTGGAGAGCGCCCGCTCTCAACGGAATTTTAAGTAGACATCGTCTGCAGCGAACCTACCTGGATTCAATCCTTGACGTCCACGGCCGAGGTCGTGTTCGTGCACAGGCTCCCGAAGCAAGATGTGGTTTTTGAAGGCACACTCGAACGGCTGTACTGCGTCGCCGTGATGGACACAACACCCCCAGCAACTTCTTTGTAGACACGACATCTTCAAGACGCATCTCTCGCCTGTGAACTTCCGGCGGAAGATCATAACGGACTGCGTGTCTGATCCCGAGAGAGTTGCAGCTCGATACGTCCAGATCTACCGCCTCCTCGAGGCTGTTGAGAGCTCACGATGGGATAAGGGGTTCTGGGAGACGAAGAAGCAATTGAGGCTGTACAGGGTGCCGCGCGAGTTGATTCTGGCAGGCGCTTTGACCAGCGACGAGGCTCGAGTTGCCACTTTGGAGTTGGAGGAACTCGAAGAATGCAAGAAGCCGTAGACGGAGTGCGTGAGAGCTTTGGAAGCCGCTATGACAACCTCGGAAGCCGCGTTGGTAAGTTTTGTCTTTAGTCCTGCTTTGTCCTGGTATCTGCCATCTTTGTAATTTTCAACCGAATGATTTCTATTTTTCTCTATCAAGTTTTCATATCGATTTTCGTCTCTAATATGGGTAGGTAGGTAGGGCGTGGATGCGTCCAGCAGTCGCGAAACAGCTGGACAAATGCCAGCATTTCGCGGCCTGTCATAAATGGACCAGTAAATCAATGATCATTCGGTTTCTTGCAGTTCCTCCATCGTGCATACTAGTAAGTCATCGATCAACCAGGTAGGTACCTGGTCGATCCAGCCAGTCATGGTCTGTTGATACAGATGTACGCACGGCGATCCGATATGAAATTCAGTATCGCGAGCTGCCGTATCCACCTCCGTATCCGTCGTTGTCGCCTCCATCATCACCGTATCGGCGCCGACCTTCGCCACCATAGCCTTCACTCTCGCCGTACTCGTCTCGTCGCCCTCCGTAGCCGCCATCGTCTCCACCTCCACCGCCGTATTCATCGCCGCGACCGCCACCACTGTAGGACGAATATTCGTCTTGTCGAGAACTGCCGAAGCCGCCGGGGACGTCGTAGGAAGATTCCTCTTGTTGTTGATGACCATATCCGCCGCCACCATAGCCTGAAAGCTCTTCTTCACGCCGGCCGTAGCCTCCTCCGAAGCCGCTTCCGCTGGACTCGTACCTCGATTCTTCTTGCCGCCGACCATACCCATCTCCGCCGTCGGAGGAATACTCTTCGCGGCGCTGCTCCTGGCGTCCGTATCCTGACCTGTACTCATTACTGTCATCATCAGTTCGTCGACCATATTCGCGTTCCTCGCGGCGCCCGTAGTCCTCCGAGCCGCCGCCGTACCCAGAGCTTTGCGGTTCGTACTGCTGGCGTCTGCCGCTGCTGCCGTAGCTGTCGGCAGAGTATGGCTCCTCGTCACGGTTACGGCGCTGCTCGTAGCGATTGCGGTCATCGTCATCATCGTCATGTCCGTGTCGGTGGTGAGATCCATGACGATGATGCTCTGGACGACGTTCGCCGTAGGGGGTATCATCATCATTGTCGCCGTAGCGTCTGCGTAAAGAACACGTTAGTCCGCTTGGCCCAGTCTCTTCTTTTCTCAGCTGTAGAAGGCTGCTTTTTCTTTTCTTTTCTTAAAAACATACCTCGTTTCCTCCTGATATCTTCCCTCGCTGGTCCGCTCTTGATGATGAATCTCACTCTGCCACCCTCCACCTACGGTCTCGCGCTGCTCAAACCGATTATATTCCTCATACCGTCTCTCACCGCTGGGCTCGGTGGTCCTCGAGTACTGTGCTTGACCGTACCTATCTCCTGAAGGCGAGTGGCCGAGCTGCATCACAGTCTCCGTACGGGACCCGTCTTGGCGGCTGTAGGAGTCACGCTTATAGGTTTCTTGACCCTGGTTGAGTCCGCCGCCGAGGATATCGCCGCCGATTTGACTCGTGATGCCGCCTACCAGAGAGCCCAGGACGCCCCCACCCACTGCTGCGCCGGCCATCTTGCCCAGCTGGTCGCTTGTCCTGGAAGCATTAGGTGGTCGGCCACCACCGCTCTGATCTCCACCCAAGACAGAACTGATGGCACCGAGAGCACCACCCGCAATACCGGACGGCTGGTTTGTGTTGAAGTTGAGATTAGCCATGCCGAGAGGACGGTTGTTTCCGTGTCCGTGGTCCTTAACCCCCGGTTTGTGGTTTCTGCCCGTCTCGACGCCGCGTCGGCTGAGTTGTTCACGTAACCCATCCTTTTCAGAGGCGGATTTGCCGCGCCACCATTCCTCAACGACGCCGAACATGAGACGACGCCCGTCGCTAGCGCCATCTTGCCCGTAGTCACGCAAGGCAGGGTGATGAAGGACGCCGTGGATGATGCGGTTCAGGGTGCGTTCGACATCGATTCCCTCATCGTCCCAGCAGGCGACAATCTGTGGGACCACCCATTTCACTGTTTGACGGGCCACTTTTCCCGCGGGTTCGTTGAGAACGTTGGAGAAGTGGTCTTTTGAGAGCATAGAGTGGGTTGGGTCCGAGGAATTGTCGTCGTTGAAGACAATGTGTTGCTGAGCAACGCTGGATTGGATGATCTCGTTGGAGCCTGTGTTGAGCTCGGTCTTGACTTGATTGATGATAGGTATGAGGAAAGGAGCTAGGAGGCTGAACACAAATTTATTGATCTCGTCTTGGATTTGCTCAATCAGGTCAGGCAGGATTGGGATCTTTTCAATCGTTTCGGTGATAGATTGCATGATTTCGTCGTGCCATTCGATGATCGGGTAGATTTGCTTCTGTACGTCGTCAAGGTAGCGGGTCCATTGCTCCGGTTGACGAGGTGTGATACTGGCGTTCTGCATTTGATGGTTCAGAGCATTTTGTTTCAATTCATTTGCTTTTCCCGCCTGGTCTTTTCCACCGAACACTCCCGAAGGCAATTTATTGAGGAGATCTTGCAGAATGCTGTTGTCCTGGTTGCCGTTTTGGTACTGCTGCAAGGTGTTGTCCAGTTCTTGGATTTCGGATTGCGTTGTCTTGTCGTCGAACTCGCCACAAACGGAATGGAGGAAGTCGACGCCGCCAAATGTACCCGTGACAATTGGGTAGACTGGGTGACGTGCCTCGCGGAGTTGAATAGCAGTGCGGCGGCCGACATGAGGAAAGACATCACGTTCACCCATTTCGATCAGAGCAAGTTCGACATAGTTGGAGTGCGCCGCGTAATCTTCCAAGCAGTGAGATCCGGTGCCGAGCAGGCGGAGTGCTTCGTAGAGATCCTTCTTATTCTTGCTTCGTGAATATTGTCGACCGAGTTCGATGCTCCTACCGAAGAGTCTCCTCACGAGGCCAGCAGATGTCTCAATTCCCATGCCTTCAGAAGCAATGTAATTCTTCAACCCGGTCTGTGGATTGACAGAGAGCTCCCGGCGTTCGTCAACGGGACCGCGAAGGCGACGATCGTACCGCCTGGCGTCTTCGTTGTCCGCATAATCCTTAGGGTTGCTGGGAGGATTTAGTTATTGCCCTGTTAGGAGGCTCATTTAGCTCACTCGATATGTTCCTCAGGTCGGTAACACCCTAGCCTCTGACTTGTGACTTCGAACTCGCCCGAGCCATATCCGAAGGACATGAATCCCAATACCCAAAGCAAGATACGGATGGCTTCTGCGCTAACATATTTGACAGTGCCGACATCGACTGCCTGACTGTAATCGCGCAGCCAATTACCGAAATAAACCTATTTGGGATTAATATGTGCCAGTGTCGATCGAGGACGACTCACTCTCTTCACATCAAGCTTGCTGAACTTCTTGCCGCCCATGGCGCGAGAGGCCACAATGGTCAGCAAGGTGTCTTCAAGATCACCGTGTCGCCAGTTTTGCCCCTCAATTTTCGATGTGGATCCGATATTGCCCGCACCAAAAGCGTGAGCAGGTCTTGCCAGCAAAATGATGCCGACAGCACAGAAAAAGATGATCTGTGAGGAAGAAAGCGCCATTGTGGGCAGCAGGGATTGAACTGATGGTTTTGGATTTGTTCTCAGGCAGAGCGATATTGCAATATCAACTTTAGGTCAAGGATGTGGAAATGAGGCTCACGGCTCAACCGATGTTGTCTCGAAGAAAAGAAGATGGCCAAGCTGGTTGTGTCTTATGCACCATAGACAGACATCCTAGAGTGGCACACAGTGTTTTATGAGGAATCGTGTGAGACAGAAGGTGAAGTTGATGTCACTGAAGAGGGCAAGGAGGGGTCTCTTTCAATTGAAGTGAAAGTGAGTAGCTTGAGGTCAGATGAGGGTCATTCTGCCAGGTTTCACCCCCGGCCGAGGAGCCAATCACAGCAGCAAATCCAACCACCGACGTGTCTTGGCGATGCTTGTCTTGGGGGCGGTGAATATTTGATATCACGGCCAGCACGGCCCCTGGATTGGGCGGTCACCTCTTTGGCTGTTGGCTGGTATGATAAGACAAAATGGTGAGCGATTCACACTGCCCACCGAGACAAAGCCCCTATCTGGCGGAAAGAGAAGGTGTATATGTCTTGGTATTGGTGCAAGGCTGAGCTATTCTTCAACCAGCCCTGGATTCCTGGCGCCTTGACGTTATCCAGTCGCCCAGCGGCTTCCAGATGGCCAGTTTCTCTGCTGGAGTCAGAGTTGCCGCCAGCCCACTTGTAGACGTGGCCACAAATGTCTTTGCCCCAGGCCACGTGAGATGGCCGTCTTCCCAGACCCTGCCCAGTTGCATCTCCTCGTCTTGCCATCCCCAGTGGAAGTTCGGATCGTTGAACTTCTTTTGACCTTTCTTAGCCATCCAGATAGCTTCCCAGATGCCTTTTCCAACTATCACCACCGCCTCCGGTTTATATAGCGCAATCTTCTTGTCAAGAATGACAGCCCCTTCCTCCATTTCCTGCTTACTCAAACCATCGCCACTCCTGGTAGGCCGTGCACATATATTCGTATTGCCGATCTGGTAAAGATCCATCAGATCTCTCGTCTCGGATGGGAGATGTTTCTTGGGCGTAATGCCAGAAGTATGAAGTAGGTGCCAGAACCGATTAGAAGGGTGAGCATAAGCATGGCCCGTTGCGGCTGTCATGAGGCCAGGGTTGAGGCCGATGCATACGAGTGTCAGACCAGGCCGTAGACTGTCCACCAGGTTGTTGACTGGACTGTGCGGATCCTGCGATGATCGCTCTTTAGTTGTGCTCCTTCTCTTCTTGAACTTTAGCGCCGTATATCTTGCTTCGGCCGTCGAGGGCTCGGATGCTGGACCATCCTCCTCAACTTCGACAGTATTCTCATCATTCTCCTCGTTCTGGTCCTGTTCCTGCATGCGTGACCTTTTTCTCGGCAACGGAGACACGCTCGCCGACTTGGAGAGAATGGATGCACGTGGACTGGCAAGTCGAGGGGACCGCCGCGTTCCATCTGTTTGTTTCAATGGAAAATATTTGAATTGCTCCATTCGAGCTTTGAAAATGCTGTCTGCAAAGTCAATATCTGAAGGCTCAAGCGACGGTGGCTCCCATACTCTGTTCCGCAACAGGAGCCTCAGATCCAGACTCTTCCGGTCGACCTGCAATGTCCTCCATCGTGGTTCGCCGCCTTCGCTTTTGGATTTGGTGTTGTTCTCACACGGCAAACTGGCCCAGTGGTATAAGAGGCCAAGCCATTGCCGCCCACGAGAGATTGATCGGGCACCCGGTCCTCACAAAAGCTTCAGGAGAGCAAAAACAAGCCCAATGCGCCAGATCTGGGAACCGCGAAGTTGTCTTGCGCTGGCCCCCTGGAATAGGAGATACTCCGTACCTAGCGACTAGGTCCAAAGTACCCGATTTATTGCCAAATTAGACTCCGGGCCCTGCACTTGCCTCTTCCGGGCAGGGAATCCGGCTGCTCTGTGGAATCACCTCAACACATCACTCTTGTCGCGAATACCTTGGTACCATGACACCAGTTCTATCAACGCAAGTGTAGCCTCAAACGGTTGCTTTTATGTTCTCGAGTATGTCAGCAATGCACTTACACGTGATCCGTGAGTGAGTCACAGTCAAACAGTGATTCCATTACTTCTGTTCGTCTCATTTTGAACCACTGTCTGCAGTTACAGACAGCGTTTCTAGAAGAACAACACTGGAGACTATCCCGCAGCTCAATCAACAAAGGCTTCTCGCCCGGCCAGAGAGCGCGGGCTTCTGACGATTTCTTTCAAAGACCCAGACGGCTACGGGCACTGGATGCTTTGGATGCCAGTTCCTTCTCAGCCGTCCAGACATTGGTATTAACGGGCATCTACCTGCAATCGACGAATCATGCCGCTCAATGCTGGAATGTCGTTGGCTTGGCCATTCGGGCCGCCCAGGGACTCGGATTGCATTTGAGCTATGGACCACCCTCGACGCCGGCGGAGGCTTCGGCTGAGACTGACATAAATCGCCAGTTGAGATTGCGAATTTGGGCTTACTGCCTGGCCCTGGATCGGTATGCGAAGAAAGTGCTATCCGTGTGATTAATAATGACCTTTGGAATTTTGCAGGCTTGTGTCAGTGACCTTTGGCCGCTCTTTCATGATTCTGAACCCCTCGCCCGTCACCATGCCTGCTCTTTCGGATGAAGGAGATGGGCCTGAAAACGGTCAAGACCTCGGGATCGATTCCGTTTCCCCTTGCAATTGTCTCGCAACTCGTTGCAGCCCTTCGAAATCCTCGAGCATATTATGTCGGCGTTGTACGACGGAGTGGCGGCGCCATTGCGTGCACGAGGACAAAATGTTACTCCGACGAATGTGCCTGATCTCACCAAGGTGATTGAGCTGGATTCGCGTCTCAGTGACTTTCAACGTGATCTGCCCTCATTTTTGAGGCCGAGACAGTGGTCTTCTCTGTTCGGCGAACGGACTACTTTACAGGCCAACGTGCTTCAAGTTCGGCACGTTGTCCACCCGGGTTCCTCTTTCTCCTCCGCCCCTTTCGCCGAAACATGCTTCTAACTACATTAGATTCTTACATGTACGGATTCTCCTGCTACGCCCGGTTCTGTTGCTCATCATGCGGACAGAGTTCGGTCGGGTGAAAGACAACCAGACTATTTTCCGAACGGCTCTCTTGCGAGACATGGGCTTGCGGATGTCCGAGGTATGCGTAGTCACGGCTCACGATATCATTGAATTTCTCCACCAGAGATTGAACACGATTTCTCGATCTGCGTGCTAGTAGACGGTCTACTGTAAGATGTGGAGCAGGAACAGTGGGGACCATATCTGCCCGAGCAAGTGGGTGAGTACTTTCGAGATGTGCAGACGTGGAAAAAGGTACGTCCTCTCCCTCCCCGCTATCTCAATACTCCTTATGATATGTGACCAATAACATTCGATTACAGGTTGCTATGAATATTGTCGGCAAAAGTTCGTGTCAACGGGGCCAAGGCCCCCTTTCTCAGCAATGTTCTCAACAACCAGGATGCTTAGTTAGGACGACCGCTGAACGACTCAGAACTAGCAGAGGAGTGTATGGGCGGCATCTAAGATAGACCATTCCGACGCCAGTCATAAAAAGACAAATTTCGGTCAGTGTTGGCGAAATAATCGAACGGACAGGTTTGGAGGCGGCGGGAGCACGGCGAACACCTTTGTCTACGTTCTTTGGGGCTGTCTTCGCACTCCGGACATCGTTCACAAGCTGAAACAGGAACTGAAGACGGCATTCTTGGATTGATCTGTGGTTCTTGACAATTTGGTATGTGATTTCGCATCAGACACTACTCTCCAAAGAGTCGTGCAAAAGACAACAGATTCGCTAATTGCCGCTGTGTCGTCTCGTACGTCAGACCTGCAGCAGTCTTGCCTACCTTCAGGCCGTGATCAAGGAAACACTCCGCCGATATCCCGCCGTCATCGCCATACTGCCGCGCGCAGCCGTCGAGGATGTCGTAGTGGCTGGCCATGCTCTCCCGAAAGGAGTATGTTTCCTTTTCGGTATTTCTTGACGCATTTCCCGGTTAATAAGTCTTGAGTAGACAATTGTTGGCACCCAAAACTACACCCTCCACCGGTGGACATCAGCATTCCCGGATGCGGAGAAATTCGATCCGGACCGATGGTTTTCTAAAGGAAGTGACGAGGAGCGTAAGCTGGCGTTCACTCCTTTCTCCGTCGGACCGAGGTGTATTGGATTGAAGTAAGTTCATCCTTGTTGTCCTTGATGATATTACTGTTAGAGATTTGTAGTTTCATTAGCATCCAAACCATCTTTGAGACATGAACTGATTGCAGCTGACTGAATCGCGGCTTTCTAGTTTGGCAGAGATGGAACTCATCTTGCTCACGGCTTCTTTCTTCTTGCGCTTTGACGCCGCGATCGATCCTTCCATGACGGAGGAGGATATGCGGCAGTACGATACTTTCAACGCTGGCCCAACAGGGCCAAACTGCTGTTACACTTGAAAGGGGTTGAAGATTAGAAGGCTATCATCCTGTTCTCTATTGCTTTCTGGATATCCGCCGGCGAAGATCTTGGAGGGAATGCTCTCAATAAGTGGAAGGTAGTTATTCTTGCAACTATGGCTACAGCTCTTTCATCGTCTTCCTTGGCACTTTCGTACACGTCGTATTCGTGGTGCCTGACATGCACTCTGGGACCACTCAGTCGAGCTGGGCGCCTTGTTAGTCAGGAGAGTTGCAAGCCCGGAATATCTCCTGATATTTGACATGTCAATATGATTGGGGTCTTCGTCCAAATACACGTCTTGACCGTCGACAATGAAGTGGCATCCACATAATGTGATCAGGAGACGTAGGCATCAAGCTGCTTCCGGTGCCTAGTCTCTGGAACATGGTGTGGTGTTTGTCGATTTTGAAGTTGCCTCGCCGTTTATCGTATTTCTCTCGTTTAGCGGCTTCGGCCAATTGGATGGATGCAATCTAACTCCCGTGTTCGCAGCGATCTTATGAGTAGCTGGAGGCCTAAGTTGCTTATGTCTCAAAAAATGTCGTCTCTCGACTCTAAAGATAGGCAGCGTTCTCATCCCCTCCTGTAACTCCTCAATCGATTGAATATCTCTCTGCTCCATTATTGCCGGGCATAGCGTTGAAGACATGGCCGAGGATCAGATTGGTGAAACTCCGGCAGCGCCTGAGAGAGAGGCGACCCCTATTTTCCGGCCCGCGGAACCACACGAGGATGACATGCTGTCTAGAATACTGTGTAATGCATTTCTTCCCCTCTGGTAAGTTGTCACTAAGACCTTGAGCTTTGAGCGTAAGGAGCAGCGTGTGTGATGAGCCAGCTGACGCTTTGCAGGAACCACAACTGGTTCCACGGCGTGTCACGGCCCCTAGAGCCCGTGATGATCGGCACGCCCACCAGCAAACCACATATGAACAGCCTGCAGAAGTCGAGGGTCCGCTTTTATCGAAGCCTGATCAGCATGACGAGGTTACTCGATGGCTTGGTTCTGGTCGCGGAGGTTAACCCGCCAGCGGTTGAATCTGACGCCAACAACGCGACGACCACCAAGCAGCCCGACATAGGAGCGGTCTTGCTTTGGCTACCTCCAAAGAAGCGAATGGGGACGTTCGATCTGCTCAAACTCTGGCGCTCCGGCTTCCTGGGCCTCATGCTGCCCTGGCACTACGGCCTGACGGGTTTCTACCGCATCCAGCTTGTCTTCGAAGAGAACATCCACAAGATGTGGACAAGGACGCTGCCGGACTTGCCGCCCCACGGGTTCAAGGAGGACGAATGCGGCTTCGTCCAGATGATCGCGAGCAATCCCAAATACGCCGGGAAGCGATACGCGTCGGCCCTGCTGAACTACAAGATCGAACAGCACTTTGCCGAGTTCCCCGATCGGCCCGTGATTCTCGACACGACGACAACACAGGGGATCCGCGCGTATGAGAAACTGGGCTTCAAGCTCCTCGCCGAAGTCCCTGTGGATAGCGGGACCGATGCGCAAGGGATGAAACTAAAGTCCAATGCGAGCGGGGAGATCAAGACGGAGGCGAGAGAGACTTGTATTCAGCGGGTTATGGCGAGACTTCCTTGAGAGATGAATCGCTCGATGCTCCGTTCGGAGAGCTCACACGAGGAGATCCGGTTTGATGCAGGGCTGAGTTGATCGTCCATTTTTGTCTCTGCGTTGAGAGCTGTAGTTTGCCGAACTGAGGCCTTGTTTGTTCTTTCTTTTTTTTTTCCCCTAGATAAGAAAACACAAAGGGAGCCAGGAGTCGATTCTAGAAACATGCAAAAACTAACACCAAGTTATTGGCATAGATATACAACTATGCATCATTTCCTCAGACTAGACAGAATCCCGCATCACTAGGTCACGTCTAGACTTACTTTAGGGTTGGGATGTGCCACTGCGCTGCCCCAAGACGTTGCACAATAACCACCTCGATGCAACAGGAATCAGCAGCTTATTTGGACTAACATGGCGGCCGCTGTCTGAGAATGGCGTCTCCATTATCTGTAGATGTGCTCTTGCAGAAATCCTCGGTTCAGACGTCGAAAGCTCGTGACTCCTGATCCGGATCGGCTGCTGCGACTCGAGCAAGAGGGCGGCAAGGCTGAAACCCCCTACAAACCACGTACTACTAGCATTCTTCAGCACTCTCATTCGAGGGGCCATAGTACACTGTGACGGGAACTCTAGGCTATTTACAAGCTCGGCGGCATCGTGCCCCGTTTAGCTGCGGGCATATCGCTCAGAGTAACTTCAACCAAGCAGAGATTGCGTGGAGTACAAGGCCTCAAGGATCCAAGGACTCGGGGCTCCCCTCGACCCGACTTCACTAAAGGTAGTCCTCCTACAACTACACACACTCTCAGATGCTAGCAAACGAGGACAAGCCACTGCTTAGTGGTGCTGACTCAAGAAGCACCGGACCGGTCACCGATCTACTTACAGTCGCAGAAAGGCCCCAGTTCTGAGGTCCATTCAAACCTAAGTAGTGCGTACCGCCTACCTACCAAGTATGGGAATACGGAGCAGGCAACGCGACTCCCCTTTGCATGCACGAGTTCAAGCTCCTAGGTTATACCCCATTCAAAAACCCGCTCCCCCAGAAGACTCGCTCGTTCCGAAGTACGTGGACCTAGCCAGACTCAACTACCTAGGTATCTAGTTCGATCTTCCCGCTTGAAAATTGTTGTTCGCTGGGCGACGAGGGGGGCAAGGGCTGGAGAAGGGGACTCGGTACACGGTAGCACGCACTGGTGCTGCTGCGCTATTGATATGGAACCAGTAGAAGCAGAAGGTATCGAAGATTCATGGTGTGGTATTTGTCCAATTCGATAGATGATCTCGTCAGCAGAGGTATATGGGTAGGTACGGTTATGGTGCCGCCATAGGAGTTGTCTATTGCTGAAAGACGGAGAAAATTGAAATTGAAACCTATCAATGATCGGGGTGAAACCGTGTCCAATCTCGAGGAAGGGACAAATGAGAAAACCATATGATCTTGCACATGGGTTTTGTAGATGCTAAAAAGACACTCGGAAACACGACACAGGACTAGCTCGTCGCTAAGTGGTCAAGCAGTCAAGCTCGACAACAACATAGCCAAGTTCCAAAACTCTGCAAATGGGCCATCGAACTCGTTGTCAACATGGGGAAACAGCTTCAATCGTTCTCGAACCGCCTCCCAATTCTCCACGTTGAATGGATGAGCCAGTTGCGCAATGCCGTGCAGGAAGAATACATGCTTTTGAGAGGTCGAGGATCCGTGAGTTCCCACAAAGTGTATCCACAACATGTTGGAGGCTACAACCTGTGGACCGTAGAGTGTAAAAGGAGTCAGCGGAAAGCTGTAGTGCCAAGTCGGCAGTGAGGCGTTCCAATAAGTGGTCTTTTGGTGTGTTTTTCAAGCAGTGGCAGCAACGACGAGCAGGCCAGCCGCTCGTAAGGGTTCGGAAAGATCGATGTCTTCGGTGAGATATAATTAGCTCGTATATGGTTAGATGGAGTACAGTAAGAATCCCGCAAAGAGACCGCGCGAGTTGAGATTGTCTTGACCAATTGGCCCTGGGGTTGATGACGCAGAATGGTAGAAGTCGTCTGTGGCCCGAAGCAACCATCCAAGACCATTGCGAGTAGGCGAAGCCTCGTCCATGCACAAGCAGTGCAATTTCTCAAGATCAGATTCTCCTTTTGGAAATTTTCGGGTATATAGCCTGTCGTCTCACATGTGCCATAGTATCTCTGAGAGATTTGGCTCCTATTTACTGATTTTTCGTACCTGCAGAAGATCAAAAACACCACGACGGGGCTCCTACATTTGCGCTGAAGATCCAGGTACTGGTAACCAAGTGACCGACGTTGAATCGAGCTTTGCTGTTTCTGATTAACAATGGCACCAGGTGTGTTTTCGGAATCGGGGTTATTAACGGACTTCGATTCGTGGTCGCAAGCTGCCACCTCGAGCAAGGGGTTGAGGAAGGGGGGCCCCTTAAGCAGCGGTCTTGAAAAGACTGAAAGGCCGTTCGAATTTTTTTTGTCAAGGCGTGGAACTTATTGTGCCACCACACGTGCATCTGAAAGGTTGGTCTGGACGTCTGAGAAAGGACAGTCCGGGATCCGTGAATCCCTTTTCTCGACCTTAACGAATCCGTTGTCCGATCCCCTGGATAGGGTCAAGTAGTCTGGGCCCTCATTCACTTCCAGGAATTCGGGTAGCAGTTCTTCCTTTGCCAAAGTCAATAGTATCGTGTTTCTGTCTTCGAACCAATCTCGGGATACGTGTCGATCTGCATTCTTGGCTTTGGCCTGGTCGCCCACATAAATCCAAAAGGGATCAGCTTCAACATGCTTCAAGCATAGAATAGGCGAGTGTCAAGAATAATAACTGTCGGCACCGTTGTGAGAAGTGAGACAGCGTCCGAGAAAGCCCAATCGATGCCCACCAGCGATGGCTAACACTGGGTCTGCTTAGTAACGTTAGGGTGCCATCCCCCGCGGTACACCTTATACACGTAATGGGTGCAAGTGTGCCTACCAGCCTTAGACCTTCGGTTAGGATAAACTAGGATGGATGAGCTCTGTTGGCTGCAACAAGCCAGCAGCCGTGCCAGATCAGGCTCTGCACAGGATAGACAACCTGTGACAGATTCGGACCCCAGCAACAGGATGTTGCTTGAACTTCGAGGCTAGCCTCAAACCCTCAGCCCTACAGACCTCCCTCCTCGTATGGCAGGACAGGAGCGGCGGGTCGTTTCCAGCCAAATTACCCGAACAGGGACGTGAAGAGATACTGGACTTTGGTAGTCCAAATTTGTGTGCTGGAACACATCAATTCTGTCCAAAATATATCCAATCCTTGCTTCACCTTGTCCCTGTCTCCGGATATGCTCACCAAATCGGCAAGTCATGCTTGCTAGTTGGGACCAAGGCTGGGCCACCAGCCTTTCCCAATGCCCCCTGCGCATGGACATGTTGCACCTGTGCTGGCTGGGAGGAACCGGGGTGATGAGCATTATTCATCTCGCATATGGTTTGCTTCAAGGCCCTCTAAAACCATGCGAAGATGTGGTTTTAGTCCTCCAGTGCTCCCGCACACCTCCTCGATGATGTCTCATAAGAGCGTTGTTTGGGACATCAGCAAGAATCCCATACTCTCCCAATCATCGCCAGCTAACGACTATAGCAAGAGACGACTCCATGCCTGAAGCCCAGACATATTGTGTCCCAGACCAAATAAACTCGCGAAATCCGATTCTGGTTTGTAGCGCTGCTCAAGCCTCCTCAAATGGCTTCTGCGACGGCGTCTTCGACTATATTATAGTGGGTGGCGGCATTGCTGGCTGCATGCTCGCTTCTCTCCTGTTGAAATCGAAACCATCGCCCTCTGCTCTGTTGATTGAAGCCGGCCCTGATATGTCAAATCACCCACTAACCCAGGCTCCTTTGGCCTGTTTTGCCGCACACGGATCCGACATTGACTTGAATTATAAAACTGTACCTCAAGCCCACCTCGACAACCGACTTCTATATGAAGCCGGTGGGAAAGCCTTCGGTGGCGGTAGCGCAACCAATTATGCCACCTGGACTCGTGGATCGAAATTCGACTATGACCGACGGGGTGGACTCCTGGGAGATTCGAGATGGAGTTATAACGGGCTCCTACATTATTTCGAGAAGATTGAAAGAGACTATATATCAACTGTAGCAGTATCGGAGAGCAGCTCTAGCCGCAAATATCCATTGCGCGATCAAGTGTTGAAGGCATGGCTTGGTCTTGGACTGGATAAAATCGCAAACGCCAACAGTGATGATCCCATAGGGTGTCAGAGAAATGGTCGAGAGCTGGAAGGATGGGGGAAGGCAGCTGACGAGCATAGCGTTTGATTTGACAGGTATCACAGTCATGACGGAAATACTGTCGCAAGAGGTGCTTCTCGAGGAGCGAAAGGGGAAGCTGGCCACTAAAGGAGTACAACACTATGACGGCAGGCATTTTCTGGCATCAAAAGAAGTCATCCTCTCGGGAGGGGCTTTTCGCACGCCACAACTTCTCATGCTCAGTGGTATTGGTCCAGCCGCAGAATTGAAGAAAGCGAACATCCCAGTACGACTCGACTTACCTGGAGTCGGCCAAAACTTTTACGACCACCTTCTTGTGGGATTTGCTTTCCGACTCAAGGACCCTTCATTGGGTCTTGCCATGGGCGGCGCAGCCGGTCCTTGGGCAGACCCAGCATACCAGTCTGGTCTTGCTGCGGATTGGATTGTAACTGAAAAGGTTCCGAGGTCTATTCTGGAGGAGGCTGTGAAGAAAGACTTGGCCAGCGATCGATCTCGGGATCAAGACGAATATGTCATGTCTCTTGAACCTCGGTCGACACACCTTGAATCAGTAATGATATACGTACCCGGTGGCCCACCTATTGCCAATCTGCATGCTCCATTTGACGGAAACCATATAGGCGCCGTGGTTGGAGTCATGTCTCCGACCTCTCGCGGCAGCATCAGCATATCTTCCACCTCAGCACTAGACCCTCCAGTCATTGATCCCAACTATAACGCAACAAGTGTCAACCACACACTTATGCGTTACGCCATTCGCCGCTTGCTCGATGCTGTTCACAACTCGATGTCTGTCGTGATCGATTCGGAGAATCCTCCGCCTCCATTCGAAGCCTTGACCATTTCGTCTTCTGATGAAGCAATCGATGCCCGGGTGAATTCCGAAGCCCGTTCTTTCTTCCATGCGGCGGGGACAGCCAGTATGGGGTCCGTAGTGGACACGAAGCTACGAGTCAAGGGCGTTAGTGGCTTACGAGTCGTGGATGCAAGCGTGATTCCATTGCCAATTGGCGCCCCCCTTCAGGTGGCGACCTATGCCATTGCTGCTCAAGCCGCGGATTTGATCGGGCGGGAGGAATGAGTATCATGATACCCATTCAGGTTAAGTTGGATGGCGATGACTTTAGGATCCGGAATTCAGAGGTTCCTGTTGAGATTCCCCTGACTTGCCTCGTGGCCGTTGGGAGCAACAGAACAACATTACCCTCACCTTGCCAGAGAAAAGCTTTAGATGATGTCCGATCAAAGATTCCTCGTGTTTCTTGCAGGCTCGTCGATTAATAGGACGGAATGACAACCCGATTCTGGGATCCCGAGGTAAACGATGAAATCCGACAAAAGTACAAGGGACAACCTTGCACCGTTTGTTCGAGCGCTGGCGCAGAGGATTGCATTGCCAGAGGCCGCACTAGCCCGGCGTGATTCCCCAGATTCTGCAAGGCTAGCGTTGTGTAAGACGGCGGCCAAGCCAGCCTCCCCGCGGGCAAGCCACTAGTCAATCGGACCAAGAGCCTCAATCTGGTCAGGTTGCCAACACAAATAGTCCTGTATGCCTGTATATTGCGAAGGCTCTTTTGCTCGCTTCGAGTCAGCGACGGCTAGCTATTGCTGTAGCGTGACACCCTCACCATGTCCTGGATCTTACCAGGTAAATGTTTCCCTAAAAGCTTGGCACCAACGCGGCAACTCATCTGAATGGTGAGGGCCAAGCTGCCATGGAGAGGGGTAAACCGTACAGCATGCTTGAACAGCACATCACACTACCAGACAAGAACGGCCAAGGGTCTTGGACATGCGGATTGATTCCTCACACTGAGTCTGCCACGCCTGGGCACAGATGATGCATCCAGAACCATAAATGCCCAGGTCTTCCACCTTTCAACTCGTGCAAGATATCCCTGCTTGAGTTGGAACTGAGCGCATAAGACGTAAGTCAGCACATCTCCACAGGGATCACCTTTCGCGTTTGAACTACATCGTTCCAGACATCATGTCGTCCACAGATGAGAAATACAATGAAACAACCGGCCACTTGTCGGATTTGAGTACCCAGGAGCAGCCACAAAGCCCAAATGAAGACCTGCCGTATTACGACAAGCACGCTGAAAGTAAGCTGATTCGAAAGATTGATTTGCGTCTTCTCCCGATCCTGGGCGCTTTGTACTCGATTGCCCTCATTGATCGTGTCAACGTAGGACAAATCCTCCACTTGGGTGTGCCGTCAACACTGACTCGACCAGGTTTCCAATGCACGGGTTGCCGGCATGGGAGAGGACCTTCACTTGGAGATTGGAAATCGATATACTGTCGTCTTAGTGGTGTTCTTTCCTCCGTACTTCTTGTTCGAGGTGAGAAATCTTCATGTATATATAAAGGCGTCCAAATTGAACGCTTTGCAGTTACCGTCAAACATTATTCTCCGTCGAGTCGGAAGTGCTAATTGGCTCTCATTCATTGCCTTTGCGTGGGGATGTGTCATGATTGGTCAAGTAGGAGGCGTCCTTGGTCTCACTCTGTGCTTTGTGCCTAACACACGATAGGGATTCGTCAAGTCGTACGAGGCTCTCGCTGTCTGCCGTACGTTGCTTGGATTTTTCGAAGCAGGTGAGGAAATCCTTTCCCCATGCTTGAAGTGAACTGATGGAGTGCTTGTAAGGGTTCTTTCCGGGATGCGTGTACTTGATCAGTTGCTGGTATGTGCGATATGAGGTCCAAAAGCGGTACGTTTCAACGCCCCTCATTGAAAGCGTAAAGTCTTAATCTCTCCAGCCTTGCCTTCTTCTATATTCTGTCCGTTCTCGTCGGCGGCTTCTCAAATATTCTCGCATATGGTCTGATGCAGATGGAGGGTGTTGGTGGTCTGCGGGGATGGCAGTGGATTTTTGTAAGACGATACCGCAGGCGTGTGTTCATAGCTGACAGTGAACAGATAATCGAAGGCCTGATGACAGTGACCGTTGCCGTTATTGCATGGTTCATTATTGTCGACTTTCCAGACAAGGCTGAGAAAAAGGGTCTCTTAACCCATGAGCAAGCCGCCTTCGTTGTCCAACGGATCGAGAATGACCGAAGAGATGCTATTCCTGATCCTCTCACATGGGCCAAGTTCTGCCATCATCTCAAAGACTGGAAACTCTGGGTTTTGTATGCCAGCCCATCTCACGCGTCTTCCCATTCCTCTAACAATTCCTAGTGCGACAATGTTCATGTCGACGACTATGCCAGCTTATGCATTTGCATATTTTACCCCAGTCATAATCCAGGTATGCTTTATGCTGACCTCTCCATGGAAGTGGAGCTAACCCTGTGACAGGGTATGGGATACACTGCTGGAGTTGCCAACTTACTATCTGCACCTCCGGTTGGCGCAGCAGTGATCAGTGCTTTGTCATTCGCTTGGGTCGGCGATAAATACCACAAGCGCGCCCCTGTGATTATAGCTCAAGCACTCATCATCATTGTTGGGCTCATGATTACCGCCTATCACAGAGCTGACGGAGTTCGATATTTTGGCCTATTCCTTGGTATTGCTGGTTGTCAAGGAAATGTTCCCGCCATCCTTGCATATCAATCGAACAATATTCGGATGCAGTCCAAGCGCAGTGTCGGTAGCGCTCTTCAGATCGGATTCGGAGCAATTGGCGGCATCATCGCCTCGACCGCTTTCTCTCAAAAGGAAGCTCCGACATATAGGAGCGGGTTGTGGACTACCGCAGCACTGCAGCTCTATATACTAGGCTCTGTCTGTTGCACTTCGTTCTACTTCTGGAGGAAGAATAACCAGGTGGATGATGGGACCCTGGAGAAGCCAATTGAGGGACATGAGGGATTCAAGTACACGCTCTGAGTTGGTGAGGAATGGCGAGACCGGGCGCGTAGTTTGAAGGCGGACAGTGATATGCCAACAGAAGCTTTACTAGAAGATATGTTTGAGATGCGTTCGGTAAGTTGATGATCTCAAGTATCAGAAATAGGTAAAGAAGAGAAGAAAAGACACCGTGTTTGATCGAGTTCTCTTTCCTCCGGTAACTCTGGTCAGCTCTGGTCAATCTCTGGTTCAGAAATGCACTTTACATCTGTATGCTCCGCTGTACTACACCCGTCCAGGCATTTTTTCCTGCAACCGTATTTTCCAAAATCTTCCAAACTCCGCCTCGTGTGCCATCGAATGGGCCAAACTCCTTGTTCAACGCTGTCCTGGTCGTCCTGTCGGTCGCTGTAAAACCAACTATGCCAGGACACTGGGGCGATTCAAGCAAAGGTCGCCTCCTTGCCTTGGAGCATCAAAAAAAGTAACCCTCGCACACACAGAGACATAATGCCCAACAAGAAATCCAAACCCAATGCGTCGAAGGGCAAAAGTCCTGCTCATCCATCTGGACCGGCGAAAGCTGCTGTGTCTGTGGCGCCTACAACTCCCGAAGAAACGACTCCTTACATACCTCTGACTCTACCCAAGCCAAGCATCGATGACGACTTCTGGACCAAGAATGCCCGCGCGAAAGCTCTAATACTGTCAACGTTGGTCCCAGGGAGCGAAGCATGGAAGATTGCTGAGCCAATTGAAATCGCGTCAGATATCTGGAGGGCATTGGAAGATCACTTTACTCCCAAGCGTATGAAGGCCTGGGCGAAACAACGAAGTTCTGCGGAGGCAAGCAACACCATGGCAGCTGTTGCCGACGATGGTGCCAGTTCTGGTGCAAGTAAGAGTGAAGCGGAACCTGTCAACGGCAAACTCTCGTCTTCTTCGAACTCTGTCCCAAGCTCCGTGCCCGGAAAATTGTTGGACAACGCGGATAAATATATGGACATGTCCAAAGACAAAATTTCAATACCGCGATTGGACGGGATCATATCGTCTGGTTTTTCGGGAGAGGTTTCTACGAACGTAGAGGATGCTCGCAGAGCGCTGGAAGCCTTCGACATTGCAGATATTGCAAAGAGTATAGCAAAGGAGTTCGACAAGCAGCAGAGGGGTGCAACTGTGCATGAGACTGTGCATGAGACTCTGCCTGAGACAACGCATCAGAGTGAAGCTCGGATGGGTCTCGAGGTGCAACAAACCCAATCACAGGCTCAAACCGAGTTTCTATCTCAAATTCGGTCGCAAATTCAGGCCCACGCTACGGCTCATGGTCAGGTAAAGCCTCAACCCCAGGCCCAATCGCAAGCTCAAGCCCAGCAACAGGTTAATGTGCAGGCCCAAGCTCAAATTCAAGTTCAAGGCCAGAGTAAGGTCAAAGTACAGGTTGACGCTCAAGCCCAAGTCCCAGCCCAATCGCAAGCTCAACCTCAATCACAAGCCGAAGTTCAGCCCCAGGTTCAAAGTCATGCCCAAGGTCAAAGTCAAGCCCAACCTGCACCTTCCCAATCCGCTCCCGGAGCAGGTATCCCACGACTCTCGACACTGACGCCTTCGGGACGCTGGAAAGCGCACCCGGTCAAGCATGACAGCTACCTTAGCGAACAACAAGCACTGATCTTCGCCCGGTACGACGAAGACCGCAAGAAGCAGATCCAAGTGGCCGCGACAAAGGTGCTCATGCAGAAACTCCCGACGCGGGACATGAGGCTTCTGTGGGCCGTGCTGTACGGAGGCGAGGATGCGCCCTGGCCCGGGTCATGCTCGGCCGTCATCCCTGGTGTGACAACCCTGCAGTGGCAGAATAAGAGCTATGAGATGGATTACAAGACACTAGGGTGGAGCTGGAACAGCAAAGCAGACGAGAAAGGATGAGGGGAAAAAAAGGGCTGCGATGATTGAACAAGAGTTCAAGTGCATTTGAGCGTTCAGAGGGTATCAACAATGCGACGAGATATCGCGTGCGGACTTCGTACCCAACTCGTCTGCAGAGAACGCGCACTTAGTCCATCTTCCAACTCACCGCGAAGCTCCAAATTCCCCAAACCAAGACAGCAACAATGCCACCAAGACAATCAGCAACGCGCTCGGCCCAGTGACTACTCGCTCAGCAGTACTCTTCTCCCTGATATAGGAGACATTCTGCGCCATCGAGATAATATCCCTCGTCACATGCCCCGTCTGTGCCAGCTGCCTCAACTGATCCCCAAACGTGGCCAAGATCTTTGTACTCCTACCCGCAGGACAGAATACGACCTCAAAGCCTCCACCCTGAGGAATGATGAACGTGGAAGTCTGGTCGTCATACGCATAACTGTATGCGTCCGGACATAGCTTCTTCGCCTGCTGCGAGTACAGGCTAGGGGAGCAGGTGGCGGGTGTTCCGTGATTACCGGTACAACAGTACTTAGCCTTGTTCCACTTTGCACAGGCGCTGAGGCACGGGTTGAAGATGGGTCGCTGGATGCTGTCATCGGGGTAAGGATAGACGCCGTCGCCTGGTTTCGTGGGTGGAGTAAGTTGGAGGGGCCATGGACACCAGTCTTGCACGAAGGAGGAAGTAACAGACTGGTCTAGGGGAAGTGGATAGGTGGAATTAGTGCCGAAGTCGGCGTCTGGGCTGTCGCCTACGGGCGCGAGAAGGGAAGAGGTTCCGATGCAAACGGGGTTTGTGAGGTTGGGTGGGATATCGGTCAGATTCGCGTTCCCGCTCTCCCTAAGTAGGGAAATGATGCCCACGGGGATGTTGTAGCCGTCGACCAGCGAGATGTCGTAAAAGCATTGGTTGGTATTTGACGACATGGTGAATTCAGCCAATGTTGCCGGTGCGTGTCCCTGAATGCCACCATGTCAAAATCAGCAAGTCTTGTTCAAAGAATATTTTATCACACACACTTGCTCGGTCGCCAAAGCTGTGACGACGGAGAGGAAGCAAAAAGGTTGAAGCGAACCACTCACCGCACCCTGGCACTGCAAAAACATGCCACAATCGCCCGTCTGGCACGGACTGCCTCCCTGCCCGCTCGACGGACCCGAGCCCGATCCTGCCGTCGTGGGGAAACTGCAATTCGTACGAGCCCACACGCGTCCCTTCCAGTCGAGGCCGACAGTCTGCGCCTTCGTGGCGCCCGGGCCGAGCAGGAAGCCGGAGCTGGCGGGCCCGGTGCCGGACTGCGTGAGGATCGCCGGCCAGATGGGTTCTCTGCAGTTGTTGGTGACGCGCAGCGGGAGCATTGTGACGTCGTCGGCTGCTTGGACGGTCGATGGTGCTCTCAGGAGGAGGCCGGCGGCGGAGAAAGAGAGGATTGTGAACGCTTTTGATGACAGCCGAGATGTGTGCAAGGAGGAGGCATGTTGTTTGGCATGGTGGTGCTGGCGCTGGCGTTGTCGTGGGCTGGGCTTCTTTGCATGATTCCCACCCAGATGCCCCTTCGACAAACGGTCTCCTCTGGCCATGACCAGCTAGCTAGTGGCGAAAGAAGGCGACGGCGGGCGTTCGCCGTTCACCTCACCCTCGCCCTGCGTTTGACCTGCTTCAAAGCTGTCGATGTCCGAGGAGGTTCGTGGAACAAGCAAGCTCTTGCGATGTTGGGGAGGCTTAGCTTGATCGTTCTTCCCGAATCGGACTGCAGCGTAGCAAAGAAAGTCGTGCCTAAATGGACACGAGATTCCTTCCTGATTCTTGTTGATATTCGAACTCTCGAAAAAAGAATAGTCGTAGAAGAAGACGGGGATGGGTATGTATAACCGAAGAGGCATGGAGTCTAACGATGCAGTGTTGTTGACTTATCTATGTTTGCAGCCGGCCTTGGATGCTCGTAGCGGAGTGAGTGTCTTCAGAATTTCTGGCCCGCGTCGTAGATATGTGGGAAGTTGCGATCCAGGGATAGCAAGGTAGCAAGGTAGGTAGGTATGTAGGTATATCAGAAGGTGCTGAGCCCATCGGCCAAGATTCATACCCCAGCCTCTGCTTGCTTGCTTGCTTGGCTCAGATGTCGATCGTAATTACAAACTACGCCCGAAATTGGCGTAGATCAATCCAGCCCGCCAGACTTACTGATAGACAGACACAGACATTGACGGCCAATTAGGTGGGATAAAGACATGAGTACGTCCACGCGTCAAAGAGGCAGATGATGGGGCACGCTCCAATGACGGGTACGCAAGGAAGGCCATGCCATGAGATGTTTCCCTCGTGGTTGCTTGCTTGTTTGTCCTTCCTTGGTCGTTTTGCCAGAGATCATCGACCCTCAATCCTGCCCTGCCCAAGCCTGCTCTGCCCTGCACCTTGCTTGCTTGGTCGTCTGCACGCGCCCAGGCGCAATGTGATGTCATTGGCGTCGCTAGTTGGCGAGATGGGCTTGTACTGGGTAGATAAGGTGGCGGTGCAGATACCCAAACCCTGTTTCGTCTCTGTGGCTTGTGAGGGGCTTAACTACTGGAGAAGAAAGGGAGAGAAAACGAAATGGATAATAGTCCGCTCAGGCTTCATGGTGCTGTAATGGAACCGACGGAGAAAACATTACCTCAGCTACGAAGACACAAAGAAAAAGGAGAAGGAAATCCTGTCATGTTTAACCCCTGTTGCTCCCGACTCGCCTCTCGCTTGAATTGGGCCACATCGCATCGGGATTTTACCAAGTACATGCCCCAGACTGACATATTCTACCAGGAAAACAGTTCCCGCACATGCATGGATTTCTTCCCATCTGCTACATGACATGGCACCAGCCTGTGGGTGACTAAGACGCGATCGGACAGTTCCGATCATAGACCTTGTAATTGCTATTCCCAGGTACCACGTTGGCAGCCGTGAGCGTCGAGCCGTGGAACTGGTAGCACACCGCGGCCGCCTCCCAGACCATGTACGCGGTACAATAAGATATCCCTTCGGGATACGATTGACAATTCGCAGCACATTCGGCGAGAGTGTAAGGGAGGTAACCTGGTAGTGAAGCCATGCCTCCTATCGTGCCGATGACGCCGCAGATCATACTTGGTGTTGGCGACGCACTCTGGGTCTACGAAAACGAAAGGGTTAGTTAACGGTCTGTCAAGCCATAGGTGAGGGACTGAGACTTACTGTAGTTGTCGTTGTCGTTGTCGTTGTCGTGGTGGTAGTGCTGGTACTGGAGCTGGACGTGGCTATGAGCGCATCTAAAGTTGTCGAAGTCGTGCTTGTCGCCGTACTCGTCGAAGATGGGACCGAGGATGTTGTCGTTCCCGCAGAAGAAGTAGACGTGGTAGGATCCGAGGTCGTCGACTGAATGGATCTTGACGTGGAGGTGGTGCTTGGAGACGAGGTAGTCTGGGGATCTGCCGTAGATGTCGGGGGGGTACCAGGAGAAGAAGATATGGTACCAGTACTCGAAGTGGTTGACAGGGTGGAAGACAACGTGGACGTTGGCGCCGATGAAGATGGTTCCAACGATGTAGTAGTGCCAACGCGAGAAGCCGACGAAGTCGTGCTTGAAGTGGTGTCAGTGCTGGAGGTATGAACACTCGTTGTGGTATGGCTGCTGGTTGAGGCGGTGCGAATAATCGGCAGAGGATCGGTGCTTGCTGAGGCCGTATGGGTGGTCGTCGACGTGCTGCGAGCACTAGAGGTAGTATGAGGACTTGTTGAACTGCTGTAGATGCTGGATGTGGTAGGAGCACTCGCAGGGTCGGTGGTTGCTGATGCTGTATAGCTGCTAAAGCTTGGATGAGGGTTCGATGTAGTATGAGTACTTGGGCTACTCGAGCTCGTACTGGTGCTTGAGGCAGGGTCTTTCCCGAGGGTCGTACGCCTGCTTAAGGTTGTGCTCTCGCTCGTACTCGGAGCGGACGTCGAATGAGTCGAAGGAGGTATCGTGATTATGAAGTTGCTCGTCTTGTGGTCATGGTTCAAAGCCGACGTCCGAGAACTGCTGTGAGTCTTTGAGGAATGAGGCTGGGGACGGCTCCTGGTCCTCGTTTTCGTGGTGCGCGAATGTGAGGTAGGCTTCGATGACACCGAAGCCGCGCCACCGATCGACTCCCAATCACCCCATGTAAGATGGCCGTCTGTACGAGTGGCAGGGATCGTAGGGTGCGTAAATGTTGACCACGTCGATACCCAATCTTGCCAGTCAACAGTCTCCGTTGACTCCGCACAAGGACAGACAGTGTGAGTGTTGGTCTTTGTCAGTGTAATTACCACGTCCCATTCATTTGTCCATGCCTGAGCAGCAGACAGGAGGAGAAGAAGAAGAAGCGAAAGAACGGAACGTAAGGCAAGCATTTTCGTGGATAGAAGGCCAGGAAAGAAAAGTATGATTGGGCGGAACGACGATAAAGGTGCGAAACAATTCTGAAAGAGTGACTGATTCAGAGGAACATGAAGAGGATGAAAAGGTGGGATTGAGGACTATTTACAAAGTGTTTGAAGAGGCGGTAGACCCACCAAGACAACCATCTCAGACCTACCGTATGGCCTCAGGGCAGGCTGCTGAGAATCTGGAGGCACACCCGTCAGTTATCGGAAAGGCAGTTGTGGACATAGGCCTTCGTCAGTCCCGGGATGCTGGCCGACATGGACCAGCAATTTGGGAAGTGCAAAGTGCGAGCGTTCTTCTTTTCGTGGCGAGCTGAATGCGCAGGAATGAGAAACTCAATTGGATCTCGCATTGGAAATCGCCATGTGGTGCAAGGCTGTGGGTCAATAGCCAACAGTCTATACCAGTTTGGAAAGGAAGCCGTTCCAGAACCTCACCCGCCCGAGTCCCCCCGCCCCTAAAGGGAATCCCGAGCCCCGTCTCTCTTGCCTGAAAAGGGGGGTGCTAACCAAGCGCCGACAAGCTTGACCACTGCAAGCATGCTCGAATTTGCCATCTTGCCTCCAAATGGGCATTCAGGTCGTTTTGTGTCAGCCGAGCACCACCTGATGCGCCTCGTCGCTCGTCGTACGGTAAACAAGAGAATCATTTTTGGTACACAGTTTAACCGAGTGTGTTCTTGCTCCTACCTCAGTTGTCCACATGGCCGCCCAATGTTCACAGAGTCAGCGAAACATGCTTGCTGAATAGGAATTCCCCGATGCCATAAGCAGCGCCATTGCTTCCCCACCCACTTCCCTTGAATCCTGTCTGTGCCGCTGAGACTTCATTGACCGTGAGTGAGCGACCTGAACATATATAGAAGAGTGCTTACCATTTACAGACATGGTGTGAGAGTTGATCTGGACCTGGCCGAATTCGAGGTCTCTAGCCACCGCCAGTCCCTTCGCATGGTTCCTTGTAAAGACCGAGGCGGAAAGTCCATATGGTGTGTTGTTCGCCAGTACCAACGCCTCTTCGTCGCTGTTGACCACATACAAGGTCGCAGACAGAGCAAAGGACTCTTCGTGGGAGAGCCGAGACTTTGATCTCACGTCCGTCAAGATCGAAGGCTCAAGGGAGGTTCGGCCCGTGTATTTGGCGGTGCCGACGAGATACTTGGCATCATCAGCCACGGCTTCTTCGTGGGCGCGTTTTGCCGCCTCTATCGTGATGGCGTGGCCAGTCGAGGGCACAGCTTCCGTTGCCTCGACGAGCAGTTGGATAAATTCCTGGGCCACCTTCTGATGTACGATGATTCGTTCAGTGCCGAAACAGATCTGGCCGTGGTGGGCGACCGCTCAGACTTGGTGAGACATGCTTCATCATACACAGAAACAGCAGGGTGGACATACTTCCTCGAACGCAATTCTCCGCAGCAGCCTTCAAATCTGCGTCTTCAAGGATAATGACTGGACTTTGATCTCCCAACTCCATCAGGACAGGCTTTAGATGCCTACCCGCAATACTCCCTATAATCCTCCCAACCGCGGCACTACCAATAAATTCGACCTTTCTCAGAGCCAGATGGCTGATGATAGCTTCAGTGACAGCGGGGCCATCGGCACGAGAACATTGAATCTTGTTCAATGCCCCAGCGGGAAGTCCCTCTTCGGTGAAGACTTCAAGTACCAACTGGTGAGTCCATGGACATAGTTCGGAGGCCTTGAAGACAAGACAACGGTACAACCTGCTGCGAGGGCAGCTGCAATGCCACGGCAGGCTAGAATGATTGGAGCATTCCATCTGCCACCCGGTGAGTAAGAGGATGTCAGATGGTTGAAGAGCAAATCGAACTTACGGTATGACAGTAAGGACGACACCAACGGGCTCTCGGAACACCAATGAAGTTGTTCCAGAGACCTCCGAATCAGGAATGCTCCCGTGCACGGTTGAAACATTGGCAGACGTCTCTCTCACAAACTTCGACGCATAGGTCACTCCAAACTCGGGCCAATGCGGATCACAACTAGTCTCCGAGATCTCTCTCTTCGCCAACTCTTCAGCCTTTGTCTCCAGGATGTCAGCAGCCTTGTTCAGCACCGCTCGGCGCCGAGACAGCGGCGTCTTCCTCCACGTCTTGAAGACCTCGGCAGCGGTCTCGACAGCCTTGATTCCGACGTCGACCGTCGCGCTCTGGGCACAATGAATGGCGTTACCGGTCGAACCTTGAATAACCGGGAAATTCTGAGATTCGGGCAGAGAGACGACATCTCCTCCAATGACGTTGGGCACGACGACAGCGCCGGAGGAAGATATCTGGAGATACATCGTTGGAGATTTTGCTCCGAAAATTGCTGTTCCGCCCTCGTAGCTGCAACACTGGAGTCGCCACTGGAGTATAAATACCTTTAGAACACCCCTAACAGGGAGTCACGTGGATAAGGAAATCAGGCTGCCAATTCTGATCCTTGCTTCTCATGTAGATATTGTTAGCCTTCGACGTCAGTCAGTCAGTCAGCGAGATAGACGGCAGCGCAACGCAATGGATGACGTTAACCAAATGCAGTAGTTTCTCGTATGGCCGGCCGGAACGCGAATGGATACTTGCCAGAGGCAGAATGTTCTCCTCGCTGTTCCAACTTCCAATCCAGTTGTTAGGTGAACCTCTCCAGACATGGCCGCAGGTTAGTTGCTGGACTCGAAGAAAGTCGAGAGCTGGAGCACAACACCTTGCTCGACGCGCAGCCAACGCGGGCTGGCGGATCAGCGAGCGGAGTTGAAAGGAAGAGGGACCTGTTGTTTTCAGCCGCTCTTCATGCTACCATAGCCAAGCACCTACAGTGCAAATACCATACCGTGGTTTACCTCCTGCGGAGCTACCTCCCCGGGTTGTGGGAACTGTAACTGTACTGTGACGGCCCCGAGGAAAGGAACGAGGGTTGTCAGGATCGCATTCTCTCATCGATTGTCTCAAAGCGAGCCAGATCTTTCCAGCAAACAAGGGATTGAAATTACCTTTCCCCATTGTCATGTCAATGTCAAAGTTTTTGTTTAAGCAGTCGGAGAGGTCTTGGTTCCACCGTCCCTGGACGAACTGGGGTGCTGCTACTCACACCCTGCACCTCGACAAGGTGCCTCTCCATCGCGGGGCGTCCTCCTCTTTCCAAAATCCCGTAGAACCGCTTTCTACCCTTGCAAATTGGATGTTGCCAACCCATCATGAAACCCGTAGGTCCTGCTCTTCAAATCATTCATGGCCTTTTCTAAGCCTACACTTCAAATCTAATTTCACCACATTTTGGTGCCCAACTCCCACACACAATCTCAAGCCACATATGGACTTAGAGGGGTTTGTAGCTCATGTTGATCCGCAGCTTACTTAAGTTGAATTCCTCCCTCTCTCTGTCTCTATCGCTATCTCTGTCTCTATCGCTGTCTCTGTCTCTGTCGCTGTCTCTGTCTCTGTCGCTGTCTCTGTCTCTGTCGCTGTCTCTGTCTCTGTCGCTGTCTCTGTCTCTGTCGCT